TTCACGATCCTTCAATGCTACGATCTCTCCATTATGGACAGGCATCATATTAACTGGTGCCTGGAGGGCTGGCATACAAAGCGGGGCAACGTAGGTTTTGGCTGACTCGCAGAGTCGAGATCTGGAATCTGATGATGTCTACATAGATCTGCGGATAGAGGGTAGCAGATCTCAATGGGACGGTGGCGGTCTGGCGGTTAGAGATTTCTCGTGCGGGCTTCTGAAGGCGCAGAGGCCCCTGGAATTGATCTTCGTGATGAGATATCATGTGGAAGCCATACGGAAGACCGAAATGTGACAGAATTTGCCATCGTGAAGTCTGGTGATTCGGCTCACAAATAGTCACTGAGATGTTGGTGCCTGGGGTGCGTAAATTGAAAAAAAAAAAAAAAAAAAAAAAAAAAAGTCCAAAATTCCACGACGGCTCCATGCCGCCGCGTGTATATTCTGAGCAGAGATATATATATGCCTTTATGGCCAATATAAACACGGCAGACTTGGGTCACACGACAACCCATGTCCAAACGCCTCTCACTGCTCGACGCGCCTCCAGAGCTGGTATATCGCTAATAAATCAAACATGTCGCCCGTGTATCGTTCCAACGCCCCGCCGTCTTCTCGTACTGTCGTGAAATAGCACCGAGTATCATAAACCAGCCGCAGCTTCAACTCGTCCTCAAAACCTCAATTCGTACACAAAACCTTACCCCGGGCTCTAACCAGGGAGGTTGCCGAGAGGCGGCATCGGAATTCCACTCAACCCAGTCTCGATATCGTTCATAATCGTCTCATCCGCCGCAATACTGTTCATCACCTCATCCTGCGTGAAGCCCTGCCAGTACGTCGGGTTGATCTGCGACGCCTTCTTTGACCGGTAAATCTCCTGCGCGACTCCCTTGACCTGCCCCGAAGCGTTGCCCGCCGCCTTCCACACCGCCGAGAGCTTGTTGAGGGCGCCGATGTTGAGCCGTATTTGCTGTCGAAGGTCGTCGTCATCGTGGGGGATGAAGAAGAGCGCCCATTTGCTCAAGTGGACGATCGAGGAGAGCGTCACTACGCAGGTGAAGAAGTGCGTGTGCGAGAGGAGAGGTACGCGGTGAGTGATCATCTTGCTGATTTCGGCGGCCGACGCAATCGTGTGGTTCGTGTGCGTGTTGAACAAGTCTCCAGACGGGACTGGTCGGTGCGGTGCGCAGGATGTTACAGATCGCGTTGGCGAAGAATCCAGCTGAGAGTGCGGTTGGTGAAGCATGATGGATGTTCTATATCGCGTCAGTTCGATGCTAACCACACCTCACAAACGTCAGACATACGCATTGGTCATCATGTTGGCCTGGAAGATCATCTCATCCGATTGCAGTTTCTGGTTCAGGGCGTCTTTCTTGGATAGCGGCAGGTGAAGCCTCCAGTTGGTCAGAAGGGCCTCGATGCGCCCGAGATTCTCATCATCAGGACCGTATATCGGCGGGACGCGCATCAACTTCCCAAGGTTCCGCCCTGCGAGAATACGATAGGCAAACGAGGAGAACTCCCTATCATCCCCAGAGAAGTCTTGGTCTTCCAGGTCCGTGAGAGTCAAGGGCGGTGGAATGCTCTGGTTCAGAATCTTAGCCTCTGGCCTTCACACGGGTTATTAAGCGACTCACCCCAGACAGATACTGATGCTCCTCACAAGGGAGGGCGGCATCGGCAGGTACATCAAAGAGAAGGAAGTTGGTCTGACGATGTACTCCAGCCACCATGCCGTCTACAACGAACAAGTCCCACCACGTCCTACGCCAGCTCTCCTCTAACACGGGGATGCCGCGCCCGTACTGTGTCGCATACTCACGAGTGTTTAACCCAAGTTCCAGGGCGATGCGTTCGGCGTCGCCGAGCAGATTTCGAGCCTTTTCCTGCTCACAGCTGCCGTCCAGGCCTACAATCAAAAGGATCAAGGCTTGCACGAAGAAGCCATCCCTCCGAGTCGTTGGATCCTGGACCAGACGCAGGGCCTCATCCAAAAAGCCAGCCCGCGCAGGCCCCACGTCGAGGAAGAGAGCACCAACCCACCGAATGGCAGCCAGGAGAGGCTCCACGTTGGTGTCTCTCATGATACGGAGGAGCCATTCTTTCGGTAGGGCAAACGGGTGTGAGGCATAGAAATGGTGGTAAAAGGAGTCGAGACATCGTTCGGCCAAGGTCGGCACGGGGACTTGCGCAGGTACACCAGGCTGAGATTGACCCAGTGCCAGCTGGGTCGAGTTGAAGCCGATGGCAGCACCGAAAGACCGGTAGAGCTGCAGGTTAGAGAAGTTGGGCGTCGCGGCAAAGGTGGTGCTGGGCGTGTCTGGGAGCACGACGCCCGGCGTATTAGATGCCATTCCATTCGGCATCGTCGTGGGTACTGAGGTGCCGTTTGCGCCAAGTAGCATGGGACAGCTATTATCGCCGACGCCTACGGTGGAAGTGGGGGACGAGGATCGCGCTCTCTTGTTCGGATTGGCGGTATTATTCCTCCTCGGGCCCTTGTAGCCGCGCCGGGAAGCGACGTAGACGCACTCGGACTGGGAGCTCAGGCATCGCGAGCACGGGTTCTGGCCGTCGCACTTGAGATGCTTGCTGCGCTGTTGCAGAACAAGGTTGGGTTAGTCTCACTCTCTCTCTCTCTCAAGCTCGGGCGAAAGAGGGTGGTGCCCGTCTCGCCGTCGCCGTCTCGGCCGGAGCCAATGGGGAGTAGCGAGAGACGACGATGACGGGGACCCTGACAGTCTGACATGGAGGTGCGACTTACGCAGGCGAGACATGCAGCGGGGACAGCTACAACGGGAGGCTGTTGTCCTTGGGATCGGGAATCACTGGTCGCCGAGGAGGGTGCGTTTGGCGAGTCGCGGTCGGCTGGTGACTCCGAGTCGGGCACCATTGCCAAAGGGTTCGGGGACCCGTTGCTGTGTGTGCTATGTGTGCTCCCCGGGGGAGGTGGGACTTCGGGCGACAGCGAGGATTGCATGTCGAAGACTATTCTTCTGGTATTGTTGGTTTGCGGCCGATTACCGTGAGCTCCCCGGGATCTCTCTCTCTCTCTCTCTCTCTCTCTCTCTCTTTCGCAGCTATTTATTTGGACTCTGGCAAGGCGCGGGCAGCAAGTGGGTGGTTGCATGAGGGAAAGAAGATGCTTGGTCGGCGACGAAGAAGGTGCCAGAGGGCGTATTAGTATCTGTAGCGAGGAGAGCAGAATGTTTGTTTGTGACCTCTGGCCCCCAAACCAAACCCCAAAACGCTCGACCGCGGGAGGCAGCAAGAGAGAGGCGGGAGGAGCTGCCCTGGCTGGCCTGGCATGAGCTGCGGCGCACGGATATGGTGGGTTGAACCCGTCAAAAGGTGCCTGAACTTGGAAGTCTGGACTGTCTGGGAGCCCTGGACCCCTCCACGCGAGCAGGGGCTGAGGTAGCCAATTGACGAGCCAATTGGGCCAAATTTAAAAGCTGTCCGCGGTGGCTGAGGCGTCGTGTGTGAGTTGTGCTAGGTGCCGTCTTTGTTAGCGTTGGATTGCCGTGGGACGGATGCGGGTAGGGATGAGGTCGATGTTGGTGGCTTGCACCGAGGTTCCCTTTCTTTCGCGTGTTTGGTGGTTGGTTTGGTGTATCCGTACTCCAAGTGTAAGCCTCGCCCTCAAGGCAATGGAAGTGTCAAACGTTTGTCAAGTGGAGCACCAAACTCGGGACCGAATTCAGTTCGAGGAAGCGGGTCCTGCCTGAACTTGTGGTGCTGTGGAGGAGAGACAAGAGGCAGCAGTTGCGAGTCAAAGGCGCAAGGTGCATGTGGTGATCGTCGCCGCGTGTGTTTGTGTGTGTGTGTGTGTGTGTGTGTGTGTGTAAGGTATCTTGCCGTTTGACGCAATGGTAGAAGATGGGCATACCTGACAATCCAGAAACCGTCACGGATTCCAAGGTGGCCCGAATCGAGAGTTTGAAAGCCACTTATACAAACAAACCCAAGCAACTGTGCGCTTTCTTCAACGGCCGGCAAAGTAGGCGGGTGTCGGCCACCTCAGTCCGTGCAGTCTACACCCACTCCGTACCTTAATCACGAAGCCGCGGATATCGGCCTTCTTCACTATGTGACTATCGGCCATCAACATCGGCTCAGCCCTACAGCCCATGGATCAGACGCCATGATCTCCTGGCTTGACCCGCACTATTGACCTTGTTGACCAGCATGTGCAGAAGCGGCAAGTGAAGTTAGACCTAGATTGCCTGGTCACACGACTTGTCTCCATTTGCACCCATTGATGCGTTTTGAGATGCCTGGGGTCGGCAGTACATTGGGTTCTCGCCGTCTCCCCTCTGTCATTCCATCATCTCATCGTCTCAGTGACCTCCCTTACTAGGTAGCCCGAGGAGAGCAAAGGGAGCATCGAGATCCGACCACTTCGTGCATGGTGGTATACTTTTCAGCTTCCTGGTGACGCATGACGAATCCTCTCCGGCCGGCCAGTCGAATGCCATCCGCGTCGAGATGAATGCAAGGGCCGTTTCGGGGCCTCTGAGATGCGCAACCTAACCCGGAACCCAATTTTCCCCCGCCGGGCCGACAGCTTCACTTCAAATGGGGAATATAGCTTGGGCCGGGGGGGGGGGGGGGTGATGTACGAATTATGCCAGGATGCTCCCTACCTGGCCCACGAGGTATGTAATGGCGCACGTATCCATAGGATGAAGGAAAAGAGAAAATACGGGTGACGAGTTTCCTCATTCAAATCGTTCAATGCCCTCTTATTTGCTCAACCTCCAGTGGGGCCCATAGTCCGGCAGCGGCAATCGGTCGGCCCCGGGAAAGTGGGTCAGAACCCCGGCGGGCCGTCGGGTCTGGGTCAATTCATCACCCCATGCCAAGATCGATGGAGTCACATTACACTCGGCAGTCATGAGTCACGATAAAGAAAAGGAGATTTCGTTCGGTCGATTCCAGCGTGAATTTTAGCAGCTCAGAATTATTGCAACGACGCGGCCTACCTTAAGCTAAGAAGCTTTCTTGCCAACTACTATGGGCATTCCAGGACTGACGACACTTCCTGGCGGACGTGTAACCTTCGTCACGACTGCTCCCACATGAGAGTCTGGGACAATCACCTTGATTTCCATCTTCATCGCCTCCAAGATAGCGACTGTCTGCTTCTCCTCAAGCACGTCCCCGACCTCAACCAGGACTTTCCACACGTTGGCATTCATGGGCGACTCAATAGCCACAGCATCTGCTGATGCATCGTCCCCACCCCCCTCACTCTGTTTCAACAGAGCTTCCGCCTTGGCGGCAGTCCATTCACCAAAGAGCCGCTGTTCGAGCTCTCCCATCTCCTGGGCTGCGGCGTCCTGGCGCTTGCGCCATTCTTGATGCACTGGATCACGCGCTGCGGCGTCAAACTTGGCAATGTACTCGTCCATGCTGATGGTCCCGTCGGAAATGTCAAACACATATCTACCGGCTTCAAAGTCTCTTTCAACTTGGTCAAAATCTTCCTTAGAGACCTCGTGGAATCTGATAATGTCAAAATTATTGAACAACCAAGGTCGCGTCGGGGAGAAGCCGGCGCGAGTGCCCATCAAATCCCACGTACCCAATGTGCGGCCCATGAGCTGGTAGCCGCCCGGCGAAGTCACAGGATAGACGACAAGCAAGGACCCCCCGAGAGCGACTGAGCCGCTCGGAGTGTACGCGCGGTTAGGGTTGTATTTCTGGCCCGTGAACACGTACTTGGGGTCGAGCGGAAACATGACAGGGGTTCCGAGGAAGAAGCCAACGGCAACTGTGAGCCAGGGCGTCTTCAAAAGCGAGTCAAACACATCGCGGCGAGTTTCCAACGCGTTGTTCTTTCGCAAATACTCGACGTTGTCCGGGAGGTAAGCGGCAGTGGGGCGAACACTCTCCATATATCTTTCCGTCGCTTCGGTGATTGTGGGATGGTCCACATACAGCGGCAGGTTGAATTCGCGAACGGGCACCTTGATGCCAACAATCTCTTCGATACTCTTGTCTTGTTCAATCAAATTCTGCAGCAGCTCGGATTGCGAGATCCGGAGCGGATCGTAGTGCACTGTGAGCGTGGCGAGGTTCGGCTCACAGCGCACGCTCGCAAGGTTGCACGCGGCAAGCTTTTCCTCGAGGATGTGAACGCAGACCGTGTTGCGCAAATCCGCAATTTGCTCGCCATACTCGACTATGATGGAAGTATCGCCACCTTGCCTGTAAGTGACGCGGGGATGATCACCATTCGGTTTGGCCATGTGCAATATTGAAGTTGTGGTCCGGGATCCGAATTCCAACTCGAGTGGCACAACTTCTGTCTCTTTGCCGTCTACGAGTGCTCTCAAAGACCTCAAGTAAGCCTCGTTGGTGTGTTTGATTTTCATGGCATCCTCAAAGGAGACAAGTTGCAACTGCACACTGTCGCCCGACTTCAGTTGACCAACTTTCCACATCTCGGCTGAGCAGATGGTGACAGCGCAAGCAAACCCACCCAGGTCCGGCCGGTCGCGGGAAAAGATGATTGGAAACTCCCCGGTCCAGTTGACACCGCCGTTGGGATACCCGTAATCGAAGACGTTTGACGGATGGGACCCGCCTCCCCCGCCGGTGGTGCGTGCCCACTTCAGCCGTGAACCCTCTAGTCGAATGCCACTACGACTACTATTGTGGCTGACGGTCCATTTGGAGTTGGTAATTGTCGACATGCCCTCAGGGGTGAGTATATCTTCCGAGCCGTAGGGACCATTAAGGCAGAATATCTCCGAGTATCCGTAGTCAAGAATTGCCTTTTGTGGTAAGGAAAAGGGTGTGGCTGCGGCTGCCCAATCAGCTGATTCCGGGGCAAGGGCGATTATATCATTCATCTGCAGCTTGCGCCCCTGAAGACCGCCAAAACCAAGCTCTGGGGCTGTTGACTTGGAACCAAGGTAGAAAGGTATGTCTGGGAAGCCTCCTTTGACTGCAAGGTAGGCTCGGAGACCGTCACCGGTGACGCCGCCAATCTTGAGCGTCTGCCCCTGCCGCACAATGGATCTGGACCACATCGGTTGCTCCGTGTCATCGACACTGATGGGCACCTGGGCACCGCATACGGCCACCACGGCCGATTCGTGGAATAAGAGTTCTGGACCAGACATAGCTATCTCAAGGACCTCGACCTGAGGATCATTGCCAACGAGGATATTTGCCGCCCGACTGCTCAAATCATCCATTGGTCCGCCGGGGGGCACGCCGTGTCCGATAGTTGGACGCCCAGGATAGTCCTGGACCGTAGTGAAAAGACCAGGGTTGAGGACTTGCATAGCGCACACCTTGGCCTTGAGGTTGGACAGGAAAGAGGTGAGCGTGTCGCCTTTGGCGAATCCATCAGAACGCAGCACTTGCGAAAGGTACTGCAAGTTCGTCTGTGTACCTTGCAATGCAGTTTGAGCCAGAGCTGCGAGCATCTTCTTTTGCGCATCGGCTCGGCCATCACTGCTGTGTACCATGACCTTGGCGATCAGAGGGTCGTAAAGGGGCGTGATTTGCTGACCGTTCTTCACCCATGTGTCCACACGGATACCATCGCCCTTAGGCCAGCTGACATGCTGTAGAAGGCCCGGACTGGGAGAAAAGTTGAGTAGAGGCACTTCAGCATATACCCGAACCTCGATGGCCGCACCGTTTGGCTGCGCTTGCGGGAGGCCTCGTAGCTCGTTCGAGGGGATGCCGAGCTGACCGCCATGCTCGTAGTCGGCTTGCTGCAGCATCAAGTGAACCAGATCAACACCATAGCACATCTCAGTGATGCCATGTTCGACTTGGAGGCGCGTGTTCATCTCGAGGAAGAAGAAATCGGCCGTTTCATCGTCGACCAAGAATTCAACGGTGCCGGCACTCTTGTACTTGAGTTGAGAGGCGTACTTTACTGCCGCCTGAAGCATCTTTTCGCGTAGGCCTGAAGTCCGCTCGACAAATGGACTGGGGCACTCTTCAACCACCTTTTGGTGGCGTCGTTGAAGAGAACACTCCCTCTCCCCGAATGCAACCACTTCCTCGCCGTTTCCAAAGACCTGGACCTCAACGTGTCGGGAGCGGGGATAGTACTTTTCCAGGAAGACACCGCTGTTCTTGAACAGAGCGCCTGCGCGACTTTCGACCGTGGCGAATGCTTTCGGGATGTCGTCGTCGTCGTGGCATATCTGCAGACCCATGCCGCCTCCTCCTCCGGTGGCTTTGAGCATGACCGGGAAACCGAGCTTCTTGGCCCCCTCTATAGCCTCGTGCGTTGATGGGATTAACGAAGTGCCAGGGATTACGGGCACATTGACAGCTTCAGCAATAGCTCTCGCCTCATGCTTGAGACCCATAGCCTTGATAGAAGCGGATGAAGGACCAATGAAGATCTTGCCTGCAGTCGCGACGGCATCGGCAAAGTCGGCATTTTCGCTGAGGAAGCCATATCCAGGGAATACAGCATCGGCGCCGGTGCGTTTACAGATTTCCAAAATGGTGTCGCTGATGCGGTCGTTAGAAGCATGATAGATACTGCAGCCATTCTGGGGCCACTCACCCATCTGTGTAGGTGTCGTTACCCCGCAGCGCGATCGCCTCGTCTGCCAACAAGGCATGTAGTGATGTTGTGTCGGCGTCTGTATAGATGGCAATGCTGTGGACACCGAGTTCGCGGCAGGCCTTGATGCAGCGGACAGCAATCTCACCACGATTGGCCACCAAGACCTTCTTGATGCTCCGAAGTGGCTTGGGATGCATAGCTTCGTTGAGGCTTTGGCAAAATCAGCAACAACTTGGGTGTGGTCAGAGGGTATGTGGAGGGGCAAAGTGTACAAGCCCAGACTCCAACATGCCTAGTATATTAATCAATCCATTCCGCTCGTCCGCATCTTGATGATACGAAGGCAAGGGCGCGCCCACACCGGGCCGGTGGCTAACCTGAATGCTTCCCATTTTCATGTCGTTACCCCAACAGCTAGAGTCCCAGGAGAGGGGAACGCGTCCAGTGCCATTGCCGGAGTGCCGGGTCTAGATAAGGAATCATCGGCGAAGCGCATGAAGGTTTGTCGGTTGGAGGTCCCGGCAGGCTTTTGTGGTTGGTTTCTGGTAAGATGATTGACCTCTTTGCTACTTTGACGTCGTTGGTCTGAGGAGGGTGTGGACGGCAGACGCAGTAACGACCCCGCATCGTACCGATTGATGGGGTTACAATGGGCACTCACTGCTATCAGGAACTCCCTGTCGGCGGAGTGCAGTGATAAGGACCACCTGATCCAGCCTACCCCAATTCTCAAGCCGTCGCTTTGGAGCAACAGACCCCAAACGCCTACCCCAATTGTACCATCCAACTCTCTCCCCTCGACCATTGAGGCGCTCTTATTAGACGACATTAAGGCAGCAAAGACAAGATGCCTTCTTCACGCTTACTCAATCGTCTCCCGTTGCGGCAGACGGTATTTCGAAGCTCAATATTCCCTGGACAGCGTCCGTTATCACAACAACTCAGAATGGCCTCAGGACTGGCGCGCAAATATGAGATCAACGCCGACATGGGCGAAGGCTTCGGCCGCTGGAAGATGGGCCCGGACGAGGAACTGATGCCATACATCGACGCCGCCAACATTGCGTGCGGATACCATGCCGGCGACCCTTCCATCATGCTCAAAACCGTTCGCCTGTGCAAGAAGCACGGCGTCAAGGCCGGAGCCCACCCGGGATTACAAGACATGTTCGGCTTCGGTCGCAGAAAGATCGAGATCGATCCCAAAGACATGTACGCCATGGTGTTGTACCAGGTCGGTGCCCTCAAGGCCATACTCAACTCGGAAGGCGTCGAATTATCCCATATCAAGCCTCACGGGGAGCTCTTCTTCTATATGCAAAGGGACGAGACCATCATGAGAGCCGTCCTGGAAGCTTGCGCCACGTTTGGGGACAACATCCCGGTATATGCATCGCAAAACGCCACACAAGAAGCCATGTGTAAGGAGCTCGGCATCCCGTTCCAAGGGGAAGTCTACGTTGACATCGACTACTCTTCAGAGGGGAAGCTCATACCGGTGGCACAGTCTAAGGTGGCCACGCCAGAGCTGTGTTACGAGAGGGCACTGTCTGCATCACTCAAGGATGAGGGCAAAGACAACAGCGGCGGCATCTTTAGCTTTGGGTTTGCCGGAAAGCCGTTTAGCATCTGCGTGCATTCTGACCATCCGACGGTGCTTCAAAATGTAACCGGTGTACGCAAGGCAGTCGAGGAGGCGAATAAGCAGAGGTTTCCTAATGCTTCAGACTAGTTGTTTCTCAATATGAGTGTAATAATACTTCAAGGAGTGTCAAGAAGATTTCGATATTGATATAAAAAAGGAAATATGAAAGATACCTGCAGGTGTCGTTCTGGCAGAGGAATTGAAATCGAGCAGTTCTGCCAGCTGTCAAGCGTCAAGCTACCAGCTGGCGGGCTTGAGGCAGCGGACCTTTGCAGACCACTTATCACGGCTTGTCTCCAACGTTCTGCCAAGTTCAACTATTAAGTCACAGGGCGAGCGCCTCTTCTTTGGAACCAACCTGGCCCCGTCTCGATCCCCGGCCTGATTTCACTCTTTGAAATCTACCGGAAATTTAGCCTCTCGCCTTGGCTTATTGGAACACGCCTTTCTCTGAGCCTCATCGTTGAGCTTGCCGTTTGGTGTGGATTCCGAGAAGAATACGACGGTGTGCATCGCGACAGGGACGGCGACGTCGAGATGGACCACACGGTCGTCGCTGGAACATAGACAAGGCTTAACTAGGATGTAGTGGATCATATCGACGAGGCGCGCGTCTGAGTTGTCTAGCTTGTCGACGGTGGACTACCAATGCCTTGGTCCTGGAAATTCGGATCATCGACCATATGTCTGCATCAGAAGGCCATTCGCGAGAACGGCTCTTGGCCTTGCCGCTTGAAACACTAGCAAACCCTGGCGGCATGGCATCCTAACATTGTAATCTTCCGAAGAGAGGGGACTAGAGTCGTGCAGGGTGCCATGGGTTGGATACAGGTGACGCGGGCATCCAGTGCGACGCCGGAATGACTGTCGTATCGGATACGAAAAATCATCGGGACTGTTGGTGAAAGCGCCGTGTAAGCAAGCGACGTCTGTACGTAGGCACTTGGCGATGCCCATTAGCATGATCCAAGGGGTCACAAAGGAGAACTTTGGCTTGGCGATAGTGCTCTTGAGATGCTTAAGAAAGGCATCTTCGTCGCAGAGATGCTTCCCATCATGGACATCAATTGGCATTCAATCACACTACCTACTTCCATTCAGTCTTTGTCTTCTTCCAACAGTAAAGTTCGAACTTCCGTGGCTAAAGAAACCAGTAAGATGCTAACTCAGCGATGTAGTTAAGCCTCTCGATGCATCTACAGGCTTCACTTACAGCCTTCATCGCACTGACCTTACGTGTCTGTTCAGCGACCGCGGCAAACTCCACTACTCCATGCGAGTCTCGCTTCGACGGCTCTACTCTGGTCACACCCGCCTGCGTAGATCCTCTCTACGGTGAGCCAATCATTGACAGCGAGACCAACGAGACCTCTCCAGGCCTCCATCGTCACGTCGCGGGGCACTTCTCTAATACCTCCACTCGCTTCAACTTTTACTTCCCACCCAAAGATGCATGGGATGGCCGCTTCTTCCAACTCGCCTACCCTACCCAGTCCGAAAATGCCACCGAGGATACCATTGGCTTCGGTCTAGACAGCAAGGCCTACACGGTCCAAGTAACAGGGACCAATGGGTTCCGTGCCGAAGCCGCAGCAGCAAAGTACTCTAGGATCGTTGCGGCACAGTACTACCGCCTCAGCAGCACTCAGAATATCTACGGGTATGTTTACGGTGGCAGCGGTGGCTCTGATCAAGTCATTGGCGGGATCGAAAACACGGTTGGCGTCTGGGACGGTGCTGTGGCCATGGTCCAGGCCATACCAATTTTCGCACCCAACAGCCCGTCAATCAGGGCAATAGCAGGTCTGGTACTGCGGAATAGGAAGACTGAGATCCAGGATTCCCTCAGGCCTGGGGGCAGAGAGGATCCTCTCTCGATCCCGTCACTGACTGCAGTTGAGCGGGCTATGCTGGTCGAAGCGACGAAGCTTGGCGTTCCCATCCGTGCTTGGGAACAATATGACGAGGTCGCAAACAGCTCACATTTGAACATCCTGAGGAACACCATTATCAAGCCTTCGGACCCTACATACGCCAATGATTGCTGGTCCAAGCCGGGTTACCTGGGAACCGAAGATAGTGCGCTCGGAAAGATCATGAGAGAGGCAGTGGTTGACTTCAATGCGACCGTCGAAGACGTTCATTTTGACGAAAATGGGAAGTTGATCAGCATCAGACTTGACACAGTCCCGGAAGCTGTTGCTGATGTATATGGTTATGACCTGACTTTATTCGGCGCCGACAACTCTGGACTAGGAAGTATGAGCGGCACTTTATCTACGGCTAACAATACCATGTCTTTCGCCGACTACACTACCGACGCCAACAACGCCACCCTTACCAAGCTTGTTGCGAAGGGAAAAAAACTCCAGATCGACAACAAGTCGGCCCTTGCAATGCATGCATATTATAGACATCAGGTCCCAGAACGAGCAGGATTTTACGGGTTCGATCAGTTCCGGACTTCCAACGGCACGAGTTGCCTCCAACGCTCTCCCGACACGTCCAAGACCCTCGCCAAAGCCGTCTCTGGTGGCACTCACACCGGCGCCATCGGATGCAAACTCATCGTCGTCCAAAACCTCCTGGACAGCGACGCGTTCCCGTGGCATGCCGACTGGTTCCGTTCCCAAGTCAAGCAACAGCTGAGAGATCGCTTCGAGGACAATTATCGCCTGTGGTACAACGACAACGCGGAGCATTTTTACGAAGAAAGGCCTCTGCACCGCCTCAAACTTATTGTGCCGTACAACGGCATCTACCAACAAGCTCTACGAGACGTGGCAGCCTGGGCGGAAAATGATGTACCTGCGCCAGACGCCACATCGTACAGCATCTCCGCCGACGACAACTCGGTCCAGGTGCCCCCTACAGCGGCCGAACGGCGAGGTATCCAGCCGGTTGTTGGACTTCTTGCGAACGGAAGATGCAGCTGTACTGTGAAAGCTGGACAGCCGATGACCTTACGGGCGACTGTTGATACGCCTCCGGGAACTGGCAAGGTTGTGAATGTCGAGTGGGATCTGACTTCGGAGGGCACATTTACTGATGTCGGGCCCGCAATCACGCCTAAACAGACTGTGACGGTCGAGCATACGGTTGTCTACAACACGACGGGGAACTTTGTTGCCATTGCTAGGGCAACGTCTCATCGCGAGGGGGATCAGGGTGCCGCTTATGCGAGGGTGATGAATCTAGCTCGAGTGAACGTCGTCGTTGTATAGTGTCGCTTTCGTCTCGAAGTGCCTGGTTAATATAAAATTGTTAGACATGTGCTTCCAAGCTTTCACTTCCAAAGTGCAGTGAAATAGTGGCGATGGGTTTCCCAGAGAGTAAGGAGGAATGCCCGTGATATTTTCGGAAGGTATACTAAGAGATGTCCACGGCGGCGGAAATTTTCGCCCAGGCAGGTGCGGTTGGAAGGAAGGACCCCCCTTAGCTGATGTTCCTGCCTAAACTAGCTGCGACCGAGTTCACACAAGATTAGGAAAGAGAGGCCAAATCGCCCCATGTTTCTGCTCCTACCTACCTAAGGTACGGTTTCCATCCACCCTCCCTCAGATTCTTTTTCCCACAACCTCTTATCTCCTCGCTTTGGCAACTGCACACCAACACACGCGCACACACACCCACGCATCCACGCGAACAAAGTCATGGATTCCCAAGACAGTCAAATGACGAAGAAGCGGAAGCTAGATGATGATAACGGCGCTGCGCCAGCCGGAGAGAATGGCGGCAATCGATCCGGCGTGACTTGGGGCTGTTTCCGCCCTCTGACCATCGAGTTCGACCATGAAGCCTCCTGCATCTTTGGAGGCCACAACCTTGAGATCTGGGCGACGGATGCACAGGGGGCATAGCGCCAGATTGGGAGGATTTGGGATTTTCAGGGTTACTGTGAAGCCGAACAAGTCAAGATTATCGCAAAGCGCGAAGTCATAGGGCCGACTTCCCCCCTCACGCTGGCGGCGTTGCGCCTTGCGAGGGATTGCCAAGAAGAGAAGGCCCGCCAGAAGGAGAAGAAGGTTCTCCGAGAGAAAACGCTTGCCCTTGAGGCTCTCCAAGCGAGAAGAAGAGCCCTTCAAGAGACAGAGAAGGCCCTTCAGGATGAGGAAGAGGCTCTCCAGGAGAAGTTCAAGTCTCTTCAAGAGAAACATACTGTTCAGGAGGGAAAGAAGACTCGTTAGGCGAGGTGGCTAGAGCTCCTGCGAAGACAGGAGCAACCTCGACAGGAGTGAAAGACTCGCCAGGATGCGGAACAGAACAGGACGAAGTCATGTCGAGTCCGAGCCCTGGGCGGTCATGGCTATCAGCGATATGGAAGCCAGGGCTAATCCTTCTCATACATCATCCCCTGTTCCTGGAGTCTGGTAGTACCCTGATGCTGTGGAGGACATCGGATATGTTGAGGAAACGGCGTCACTAACAGCGATGAGGGTGTCGTCGGAACACCCACCCTTCAGTATCTAGGCAGATACCGTTCTATGATAATCATGTTCGCTCTTCCAATTTGCTTATAGATATTTCGTGAATTGTCCCAGGCCAAATTCCAGACATGCAAGTATGTAACATGTTTGTGACTGTGTGTGAATATTATAGCCTGACAACGCCCGCAAGTCTGTGTAGACGCAACCCTTTACTTCTAATCCGAGAACGAGCGTTGCAAGTGCAGCCTTATTGTTATCTACCAGTGTCCACATGAGCGAATTGAGGGCCCAAAACTCGTAGGGAAACCAGGCAAGATATGCTGGCTCTTGGGATACGTGCAATGCAATCTACCTGACGTTTCCGAATGCTGTACGTAAATGCCTTTCGTTATGGACCTGTTTGCCTTGCACAGCGTCTTGGAAGCGTGGGTTGATTCATGCGATCTAGACGGGCGAGGATAATGGTGCAAAGCTCCGTGTAGGATTTCTGTTTTCGTCTCGAGGTTCGGGCATTAGGGGGCCCTAGAAACTACCCAATTTTGCCTATGAGTACCCCCCCTCACAGGCAATGTTTGTTGTGGCAGACCCACCCCCGCACGTTCTGTGTATTTTGAGCGAGAGCCCCTCTTAAGAAGCACCCCTTTCACGGTCTACTAATTCTAAGGTACTGACGAACCCCCCCCCAACACAGGCCCCGCCCTCAGATTGACGTTCGCCACCTTATAAGTTGACTGCGACACGACCATGAGCCAGCTCCTCCTAGTATCTGACCGGAGTCGAGGACAATGATGTTTCTAGCCTCCAACGCCGTAAGTACATCACACTGTTACTGGATATCACTTGTGGCGTCTGATGTGACGAGACAGTACATGTCGTGCTGCCGACAAAGTCCGACTAGCGCCCAGCCGTTGAATTTAAGCTCAATAGGAACGGGCCGATCCGACGAACATGCCGTCAGTGCAGATCCCTGTCAATGCTCTGCGCTGACTTGCATCCCTCGCAAAGTCTAGCTACTTGACGTTAAACATTTATATGCAACGCACACTTACTGCCTAAGGTACTCAAGTGTTGCATGGTGTACACACTTCTGCCACCCTGGAGCATGAACAACGGAAGGAGGTATCGGGCCCGGGTGCCTTCCTCCACCTAGCCCTACAGGTGGGACAGCAAGAGCAGATAATTCAGGCACCCGCGTCCTCCCATCGACTGAGGCACCCAAAGGGAAGGCACCCACCTCTAGGAGCCTGGTACTTACTTCCAGGTTTACCTTCGATTCCTGTCTATATCCTGCACCAAACCAAAAAAAGGTCAGTAGGATTCCGTACCATTTCACTCCCACACGTTAGGTACCTTGCCCCAAACCCCTGCTTCTTCGTCACTCCACTAACGTACTTCAATTAGGGCATCCCCGAGTGCCAGAACACCAGAGTACGACGACAGAATGGCGACGCCGAGCCTTGAAATACCGGCGGAATGGATGAACGAGATTCAAAGACTCTCAAGATGGTATGGGAGCGACGAAAGATTTTCGGTCGCTCACGTGCAGTCCCCTCCCTCGAACAACGAAGGTAGTTGCATGGCCTTGATCTTGCACACCATAGGCATGAGGGCCAGCGGCCCGCATGATCTCTTCTCCAGATACCTCGTCGAATCGCCTGACAAGCTGGAGATGCTATAGAGCAAATGGAAAAGCGCTGGATATACCGAGGCTACGAGACCTCTGGCGTCAACATACGGTGGTATCGGAAGAGCCTCGGACTATGATTTCAGATACAAACTGATTATCATCGACGCCGATCACTCCAATAGCATCGAATATGCTATCTCGCTGGTCAAGTTGTCCCTTCTCGCGAGAACTGAAGATTCGACTATTTTGCGCTACGCCTTCCTGTCGTCTGCACCAGTGGACAAAGATTTGGGCAGAATGCTCGCCGTATCAACCAGCGCATCAGAGATTTCCGTTACGACTTTCCACTTAACACAGCAAGCCAATTTGCCGAGTCTGTCGAATTTGAGATGGGTTCAATACGACGCAACCGATGAGGGGTACCCAGACGCTGTGATGAAGGCGGTCGCTCCGGACTACAGCATGGACCAGGAATCGAAGTCTTCGGTATACAAGATGATGGGAACACTGTTTTTCTGGGACGAAGGATGCGAATGGTGTCGGAATGTTCAAACGCAGAGGGTTCAAGTGGCCTTCAACACGCACCTGGTCAGAGGCGAGGCTAGTGGAAAAATCTCTATCGGCCCTTCGCCGATTGCATGGTCGGACTTTGACAAGGATGAGCAACATTTGGTTCTTCTGAAGACGGAGACAAAGGAGATGTTTGACAAAGAGACGCCGCTCGTGGTCAGGGCAAAAGCGCCGCTGTCGAGGGCCAGGATGCTGGCCCAAATAAGTTGGTCCTTGGACACGGAAGTGGGGCAGGCGGATAGAACCATCCACGCCCAGGTGGCACTGCAGGATATCCTTGACGCGAAACCCGAAAGGGAATTCGAAGAGATTCACCTTGCGCAATTCATCATCCATGTGATGTATGACTGCCCTAGCATCAACCTTGACCGTCTTCGTGATTGCTTCGTGTCCAGAGAGTCGGCATTCGCTGAGGCTATTCGCCGGCTTCATGTTCTTGGGTACATCTACTACGACGAGGACGGAGTCAGTGTGCATCTCAATGTGGAACAGGCAGGGAAGACGCTTTAAGTCATTGATGGCGTGGGGAATGAATTGTCAGTGGCCTGCTTTCTGGCCTGCATTACACCGGATACGCCCGTCACGGTGCGGTCCGCAATGAATGATTGACATTGCGACCATTGCGCTCATGTCCAAAACTTCGGATCCTTTGGTCAAGATTACATCGGAATCCTTTGCCGACGAAGAGTCCATCAACGGTCTGCTGCAGCGGCATTGCAAAGATGTGCCGAGCGATGCCATCAAGAGTGGCGCAACGTGGTTGGCTTTGGCCATGTTTCGATACTACAGAGAGAGATGGCATCGTCCCATGGGTCCCGTCACATTTGAGTATGGGAATCTGACACTTACATCCTACACATGCTGCAAAATCAACCACTGGTCAAAAAGGATCACGAAGGTGTTGGACAAGTTGGTTCCGGAGGCAAACGGCAACGCACCAGGAGCGACGCTCGCCATTTCCCACGAAGACGTGTGGCAGATTCAGAGATACATGGTTCGTGCTTGGGCACACAACGTCGCTCTCTCCGACGGTGAAGACGGTACGGATAAGTACAACATCTTTTCCGGGGGTCCGATCGCGCCATTTTCAAACCAAGGCTTGTCTCTTCAACGGTATGCGCCGCTCCTCAGCTTTGGGTTCGTCTTGGACGGCTCCGGGTGCTATGCATGGCTTCCGACAGCCATCCCGGAGCATCTTCTGTTCGAGACTTTTGGCGAGATGAGCTGTGAGTTGGCGGACCTTGCTACAGTCTATTTCGAGGAGGGCGATGAGGGTGATTGGGAAGACTGGCCGGAGGACGAGGAGGACCAAGGTGACCAAGCCTAAGTACCTTTAATCAATAATGTTATTTTCTATTCTCCTGTAGCAGAATTTTCTCTCATGTTAGTCGCTTTCGTGAGGCCGCTATTGGCCTTATTTGATCCTGCGGATGTCCTGCAGTTAAACGGGAGACTTGAGCACATCAAAGTTGTTAATCGACACTTTCTTACCCAAGGCTGTTTACCTTAGGTGGAGTATGTTATGATCGCTTTCAGGACTCGGTGTGACACATGCAATCGTAAATGAGTAGATTCAGTAGTTAATAAAGGCTATAAGTGGTTCTGGAAGAGCCTTCACTTGACTCAACCGGGTACGTTGACAACCCAACGGTTGCCCAGCTGGCTCTACCGACGTGTGTATTTATGTACGCGGTTCGCAAAAGGTGAGTATGAAGGAGTCCCCAGGGATCTGTTCGTGCTGTCTGTATCTATCTAGGATCTTCTAAACCGAAGTACAAGCTCTTCAACATGCCCAAATGCAACCAATCTCTGAAGCCTCTTCGATCCTTCAAATTTTCACCTTGTCTTTTCTTGCTACACTCTCCCACGCCTCTGTGATAAAACCTCTTACTTCCCTAATCGCTCAGAACGCATCCCCTCCTTCGTTGCCTCCGGGCTGTCTGCTGCCTTTGATGTCTTTGCAGGTAATATGAGCCTTGTGTTTTGGTAGACTTTCAAGGGTAGTATCTCACCTATTTAGTCTTGGCAGGCGCTGACTCGGCAGCCTTCTTCCGTCTCTGGCGAGCAACGAAAGCTCTATAGACGCAGCAGTTCTCATTATGGTTCTGTATGTCGACTCCTTTCTTCAAGACAATGTTGCAGATCGGGGCCAAGTCCACGCTACCATGCTTCTTCATGTGCGTACGATGGGTATCGGTGTCTGACTTCTGGTCCCAGTGGCAGCCAGCTTGAGAGCAGTAGTGAAGCGAAGGCTCTTGGTTGGATGCCATCTTAGCTTTGAGGTGCCAAGTAATCAGGTATTGATAGAAGAGGGACTCAGCAGTCCGTACTTGGGTGGTGGGAGGGAGATATCGATGACAGCGAGGAGACAACATGAATATGGGGCGACAGAGTTCATTTACTCCTATTTATACTTGATTATCTTAGACACCGCTCTTTCTCTTGTCGTCCGACAACTTGAGAGGGCTACGGACGCTGAGGCAATTAGCTAGCCACGTGATATCGCTCCACGAGCGCGTTATCTACCCATGGACGCAGCCACTTCAACCGACGCGGTTGCCTCACGCCTCTTGAAGGATGCTATCGCGTTTGTCAAGGGTCGGATATGCAGGAGCTACATGAGACCAGGGTGTTGTACCTGGTTGAAAAGGGCACCCAAGAATTGACGAATGGCCGAGGATGGACTGGAAACTGATATGCCGGCCGGATGTCATCCCCGGGGGCAATTTCTTTTGCTTTGCCAGCAGAAGAGCCCATGGCTAGCCAGGGGCTCGAAGGCAAATGCAAATTGGGGGCATATTGCTGGGCCGTTCCTTTAGGGCTGATCATCTGCGACATCCTTTCCCGGTGGTTCCTCTAGACCGTGCCGGTTTCCATTGCCCAGAAGGCTTTCCTGCTTCTACACCAATCCCGATCGTGTGTCACTCCGGATCCCTGACAGATTGTTGGCAATGATTGTCGTCTGCGGTCAGTGTCCAACAAATAGATTGAGTGACATTGGGGTCGGAAAACTACCAACTTTGGCTGGGATAGCTTCATGTCAACTGGCGAAGTATCCGAGGTTGAAGATGGATTTTCAGGCATTAATTTACTATGGTTTGAACCCTAATTCTGGAAAAGAATTGATTTACTGCACTTTCGCTGCGGCGTGAGAGCGGTCGCATATTTGGCTTCCCAAGCACCGAAACCCCAATCGCGGGAGAGAACTGCCACCCTTGTCATCTGCATCCTGTTATGCATGTTGGAGCAAGGCAGCATTGAAGTTGTCTGTGAAGAAACATCGAAGATTCTGATGCTATCCACTCACTCAACGACTTGGTAAGGTAAACGGGGACGCATGGGTGGGTTGGGTAGTCTCGGCTGCCCCAATGCGAATGTTGCCACGATCCCCCGCCCCCTGCAAGAGAATCATACACTGGCCCTGTCTATCTACTCTATGACTCAAAGTCTTGAAGCCGGTGGCATGAATGCGGACTATCTGGGTGTTATGCACGCTCGGGGCGAAGGAAAGGCTCTTTCCGGCTTGCCATCATGACGCCTTCTCTAGGTGAACCAACTCCTTCATACCCCAGTTGCGGATCCCCCCCCTCCTGTCTGAGAAAACCCATCATTTTCAAGGGCTGAGAGGCGCACACGTGGTATTCGACGACCCGTCTCCAGCCAACCGGCGGCCATCACAAGCGTTCCCGGCGTTACGGGCGTTTAGCAACCCACAAGAGCTCGACGATGCTGGCACGGCTGCTCAGGTTGGCACCAAGAGTTCTTCTTTCAGTCAAGAGACTGAGTCCTATGCAATTTTGATGGATGATGTGAGGTGAATCTCTCACTGCTTATAACAATATTCAGACAAAGGTACTAGTTCTCATTCAACGCTTCTGAGCATAGAGCTGAGGATAAGAGGGTCCGTTACCTCTTGCCCAGGGCCGACAGGGGGATGAGCAAAGCGTTAATGTAGCGCGATTAGATGCAGACCATCAGAGAGGCGTTCAAGAAGTAGTTCATTTGATAAAAGCTTCAATCGGACAAATCTAATACTTTCTGCGCGACGGCGCAGCTGTTCTGTCCCAGACGCGGTGATCTTTCATTCCACGGCCGTGCCTGCCAATATCCGTTCTACTTTCAAGGAGGAACAGGCTGAAGGTAATAAGTTCAATGCATGTACGTGATCCAAGACTGTGTATCTCGAACCCTGAACTTCGAAGTTCCATGTGCCCCGGAAGCTGGTTGTAAGCTCCACGCGGGACGTGACTGGACTGTCGGTGCGCAAGGTAGTGGGATCAGAGGTAACAGAGTCAGCACACGTAGACATGACAGCTATTTGATCCTCCTCTTCCTGCATCACGTAGCATTAGAGATGAATGGAAACGTCTGCTTGGTACCTTCTATGGTAGTATACCCATGCTCCCCTCAACGATCCCGACTCCAGCAGCGCGATGCTCCCGGCCTTGACCCTATGAGGGCATCACGTCACGTCAACTTTGAGTCTCTAACCCGGGCCGACCAGCGCAAGGCGTGTTCTCGTTCTTGGGGAGGAAGGAGCAAGGATGAGGCTCATGAAAACCCACTACAATTCGTGGTCTGGACGAAAGAGCAGGGGTTCGATACTTTGATGCGGGAAGTGGTAGTCTTGCCGTCAGCTCGAGAGTGGACGGGAGCTTGCTCGTCATCACCGGGCCAGACAGATGAGCCTGCGAAGAAGATGCGAATGGGATAAGAGCTTGTATATTGATAACGAGGGAGTTGGAAGTAGTGTAGAGCTGTTTCTTGCGGACTGTGGATGGATATTGTGACCTTGCTCCCTCAGTTGACCTGTGTCCCTGGGGACTTCAAGTTCGGTTTTGGCTTCATCGATCGAGAAAGGGAGGTAAACGAGAATTCGAGATCTATTCACGTAATATGTCAGCACCGGTCCTCAAATAGTCATACGAGATGTAGCATGAGAGTCGATACGTCTACCCTGCGCATTCGCTCGAGCAAAGGTAAGCTCCGTAGGCCTGCCGCAGCCCTTGACGGCGACTTGAGAAACGGCAAAAAGTGGCCCAAATCAAAACTGTTAGAACATCGAGAGAAGAGAAGTACCGGAAGGAGCTTTCGGGTTTTTGGCAACATTGCAGAGGCTAAGATACGATCAAGAAGGAAGCACTAGGAATGACAACTCGAGGGCGACTGTGTTCTACTAGGAGAATTTTTTCCAGGCCCGGCCGTGTTGAGATGATGTGAGGCAACCAGGCAGCCAGCCGCACGTCAGCTCCTAGACGACGAGACCTCATCTCGTCAGAGACAAAACTTGGCAAGGCAGATTACTCGGGCTGTGTCCAATTTTTTGGGGTTCGGTTCACGGCGAGGGCTCCTGGATGTAACCTCGAACCAACGAACAGGCAGACCGGCCGCATGCGAGAGACCGTTTCTGCGAACGCAACAAGCGGTCGTGGCCCGAAAGCTCCCAATTATTATGGAGTCCTGTTTCCTGATCGAGAGATTGACGGCGCTTAACTTTTTCCACTTGACGCGGACGTCATGGGTTTTCTTCACCGGCTCTGGTGGGCTGCCACACCGTGTTTGAAGAAGCCCCTCGAGCGTTTCTACGTTAGTCACTTGATTTTAAGCTCCAGTTTCGTCATGAGCTTCGACGAAAGGAAACCTCAGCTTAGCCACCACGCCGACAGGGGCACGATTGCACCCCGGACCCATCTCGCGCGAACCCTTTCGCGGAGTGTATACTGCTAAACACCACATCCGAGGTGGAAAGCAATCTTTCAGAGGAAGAAGAAGGTAAACAACCACTTACATCGCGGCCGGAATGCTGATCCTGCTCTCCCCGTTGTTGACCAGGTTGGCGTTCCAAGGGGCCCTCACGAGGAAGAGGACGTCGCGAGGTGTGCCTGCCAGACCGGGCAACCATGCATCGAGCGGTTCGACGGGGCGGACTAGCCTTCAAACACCATGTTATTTCTTTCCTATTCGATTGGGTTCTACATGGTTTCGTGGTGTTGTGCTGGTCCTGGGGGCCAGAAAAAGGCGGAGGGGGTCGGTATCCTGCACTTGTGTGCGCCGGCGGCCGTCGCCAACTCGACTCGGGAGAGGAAGGAATTCGCGAGGCTCGCCCCGAATGACCCCTTTCAATTGCATATCATAGGATTGAAGGATATCGGTCGAGTGTGGCAACTCTGGGTAGCTATGTTACAAAATTTGGGCCAGTTCCAAACGCGTCAAGGTCTACCGTCTCCAGCGGAGCCCCATCCGCTGTCCACCTTTATCACCCGGTGTTCCTGAGCAAGATTAGATCTAACATTTTGGAAATTAGAGCGTCTCTTTGCTTCTTTTGTTCAGACCCCATGCAGCTGAAGGATTTTGGCACCCATCATCTCCTCGTCCTGGACGCAAGATGGTAGCAAAAGCAATTCAGCTGTGAGGGTGTACAGTGGAAACCCCTGATATCGACTGCGAAACTGAACTCAAAAGGTACTATACAACCCTTTGAAGAGCACATAGAGTTTTTCGTATCTCGGTTTTCGGTTTCTGTGGCGATTCTTATGATAGTTGACGGAGGCGTTAGTCTTGGGAGGGTACACTCCCCCAGTACCACCTCATGAGAAGAGGAACCCTCTTCCTCAACCCGGCGTCTCAATGAGGCGACAGAAGGCAACCACAGCTAGTCTCGAGGATCTCTATCTCAAGCAATGAATACGATGAGGTGCTCCCCTCATCCTTGTGGTGGGTGGGTGGGTTCCAGCAATAGGAGGCCGGGTCAGCTACCCGGAGGCCAACCCAGGCCTAGGAAACAGGATGGCACAACATTGACCTCTTGCCACTTGGAATGACTCAACGTAATACCGGTGTGGTATTTTCCGTTTCAAATCTTGCACATTTCGTCAATTCGGCTAGCTTTTGCCCTGTCTCGCGTGTTCCCATCTCGCCCCCAAGCTGCGGTCTCAATAGCAATGTACACCTATCCACTCACACGGAGTCTTAATGCCAAATTATCTATTCCTCTTTCGTCTGTAAAGTCCCGTTGAGCATCAAATTACCTAGAGCACTGACATGCTGCCAAGCAGGGCCTGCTTTTTCCTACTCGACGTACTGACCAGGGGATGAGGCAAGTTGTGCCCCCAGACATACCATCTGTGCTTAGAGCGTAGGCTACAGTTGCCTGAAATACATGGAGTAATGGCGAGTTTTCTGCAAGTTGTAGTGCGCTGAAAACTTTTATTCTAATCTAAGATAAGTTCCTCCAAGTGAAGTGAAGAAGACTAATATTGGCATCTCATCCCAGCAACTCCATCGCTACCATCGTAACCTAAGCTCCCTTGTACTGCCCTAATATCCAAATCACTGAAATTTGTCCTACTTTTCTGACCAACCCCGAAGGCGAATCCACCAATATTCTGTTATGGTAGGTTTTTGCTAGGAACTCTGTTTGTAGCCGTGTCGTGCTTGACATGTTTGTCGAAATGATGGGCAATCTAGCTCGTCTGGCTGCCAGCGCAGGCCAGAGGACCGCATTTGATTTTCAGAGAGATCTTTCCGTAGTTTGAGCCATGAATGATGATCCCGCCATTGTGGACGGGCAGAGCTCGGTGGTTGCCCTCAGGAGTGCCCTCGGTATTGCCACTGCCGTCGTGTTCAACGGAAAGCATGAGGGCTTTTGCAGCTGCTCTCAAATTCTTGCAATCGTCACAGGACTTTTTGTGGCGGTCATGGTAGTAGCCAGTGTTGATGATGAATGTTCCGCATGGCGCCCGACCTGGCGGTCCGTGATGGTAGAAGATATGACGACGAAGGTTACAGCCTGCGCTGGGCTGCCATCGGCACCTCTGGTCTTGACATTCTTGAGAGCTTCGTTGCGGCATTTCGGCTTAGAAAGTCTTTTGGTGGACACGGAGGCGTGCTTGAGAGCAAAGTGATGGAGATTGTGAAGATGGCTGAGTGTCGATGAACTGCTTTCAACTGACTTCAGACGAAGGGTTCCGCTCCCTTATATAATTCTTTCCCTACCCCTTCAGGGAGACTGAGCTAAGATCTAGCAATGATTTGAGCCGAGATCTGGCTGTGGTGAGAAGCCGTTGCTCGAATACACGATAACAAGGTCCCCGGCCTGCTTCGCACGGAGTCACCATGCTACGACTTGGAAGTCGTTTTTCTTTTTCATCCCACCTAGTTTTCCTGGCGGTTCTTTTCTTGACCAAAGCGTAAATTACAGACACGATTAAGTCGTGTGGATGTGAGTACCTGCCATCGGCTGGGCCCCCAGCAATTCCAAGATCTACCTTATGTGGTTGGAGTTGCTGGGATCCACCGAGAGTTCGTCTCTACCTTAGTCTTTGAACGGTAATTGAGGTGACTGGTGGGCACACTGCTTGGCGTGATTGTGGGTTGAACTGGCACCAAATCAGTCCATGCAACTATAACTTAGTCTAGGTCCAAATTTGTTCCAGAGTATTGCCAAATTTGATCCCGCCCTGGGCTAGGTATAGTGAAAGCAGCAATGGGAATCCGACAGTACATCGGCCCTTGATTTCCCGGGAGCGCGGCACCGCCCAATCCCTGTCAACTCACTCACATTTCGTGGCGTGTCAAATTTGCGTCGGCGAGTCAATACATACAGATAACTGAGTCAGTCGATCCTCCGACATAGCTGCAAGTCGGGCTCTACTCCGTATCCGTACAGCCGCCCAGCAGTAACTTCATGTTTGACACCTCGGGGTGGGCGGAAAGGGGTGAAAGAGAGGTAGAAGAGGGACTGGGGTGAGAGAGAAGTGAGAGGTGAGAGACCAGGATGAGAAAGAGGTGGAAGAGAAGGGTCTAGGGTGAGAGAGATAATGATTACCTGTGAAGTTGTGAGAGAGATTGGGGTGTCTGCAAATTCCCCGCGCTGGCGCGACGCGTGGGACGTTGCGGAGGGAGTACCTAGAAGAGACAGCGGGGGATACCTAGGGGCCGGAGTGAGAGAGCGCGCGGGGGGGTGAGATTAAGCCGTTGAAGCAAGGGTTGGTTTGACTTCTCTTCTCTTTTTTCCTTCTCACTCACCCAGACTCAAACGCGACCAACTTTTTTACCTCCCGAGATGACAACCACGGTGTGCCGCTTACTTGTGTGTGCATGGTTCTGGTGTCGCGGGACCTGCCTTTTTCCTTCTGCCTTTCTGGAAATGATCTGCGGTTTAGAGGACTGCCTTGCAGCTCCAATGGGTAGGGTACTGCCCCAAATGCGATCTCAATCAATTTCTTTCTCGCAAGTTTTGGCTCTCTGTTCCCTCTAGGCACGCCAAGTTACCAAGCGTGCGGTTGCCGGGATTGATTGCCAATCTGCAAAGTACTTCTTCGGCCCTCGTGACATACTTCGTATAGATCGCTTTATGCCGTATGGCCTCAAACTATCTTGGACGTATGCTGATCGTATCCTCTCTATGGCTCGATCGAGTTCCGTCTTGCAATAGCCAAATCTATCTAGGTTCAATATCAAGTAGCACAACCCATCTAATCCTTCTGCGGGCGCTCTCTTTAGGCATCTATCTCCTCCCACAGTCCCATCCTCGGTCTGGCTTCCCACTCATCGAGCCGCATGCCCATGGGACTGGTGGAAAACTTGGTAATTCACAAGGGGATGCTCTCGCAGTGTACTCCGTACGGGTAGAACGTGGTTCAACTAACCACCATCATCTGCTTGGGGCTGCGTGGACTCGTGGAAGGCTAATCGTACCCCCACCACCCCTCCTGGATCTGGTTTTGGTATTGCTCGCCTACCGTACCCAGTACTTCCAGCGCGGGTGTACGAACAGGGAAACTGGAATCGAGAGGCTGGGGAGTGGCACGATTGGCCCCAGCCGCCGCCGATGGTGCTTCCACATCCGCGGCTTCCACAACGACAAAGGCACATGGATGACACTGCCTTGGCCCCCTTGGCACACAAACGGGGTCCCTACGGGTACCTACTCTGCCACCAACGGCATGACAGCTGGTAACCTGGCGGGGATCATCCGAAGATTAAACTAATAATTTAAAGCTTACCTGGTCAATGTTCAATTATCTAGATCAAACGAACATAAGAAGGTCTCAGCATGCTGAAGTGGGAGGCTTCTCATTATCTGGGACTTACATGGGTATCCATACCTCGGGGTGTCTTGTGGGCAACATGATACGGGAGTACGCCGTCCGAACTTGGCCTTCTCATGTTTCCACAGTAGAACAAAGCGAGCTTAAGTGAACCTCGTTTCGAGTACAACGCACACGTTTTCGCCTGACAATCAGACGGCATTGGTGACTTTGGGGTCAGGCACCTCCAAGACCAGTGGATGTGGCGTGTTGGCTGGTAGATCTTGGGTCACGACTGGCCCAAGGTATGTGCAGACGGTACCATGCTGAATCTGGATCGTCTGGCACGGCTCTCCGGTCTGGCACGGCACTTTGGTCTGGCGAGGCACTCTGGTCTGTCACGTCAAGCACGTCACCTATGATGGTGTCCCCTACCTACGAAGTACCTTATCTTGCCGTAGTCCCGTCTCTCGACCGTGCCACGCCCCATCGCACCCAACTTCGGTTCCCTCTGCATACAAGCTACCCCAAAAGCCGAACAAACCACCCACTGGGCACCGCCGGCGGGTGTTCCGTGTAGCCTGTTAAAAACCGAAGGGGGCGTGGCACGATCAACGTCTCCCGTTCCATCTAGCGTCCCGTGCAAATCCCGGACACTAGGGAGCGTTCCCCGTGCTGGTGTTTCTGCACCCACCAAGACACCACCAACGGCGGCGGCTGCGACAGACCGGAGCTTGAGAAGATCCAGCAGATGGAGCAAACCACAAATTACAATCTACCCGTATGGAACACAGATCTTTAAGATTATCTGCTGGTGTCTGCAAGGCGAGGTCCACCAGCACGGACAGGGGCCCTGTCAGACCTTCATGGTCTGACAGGCCCCCTTGTAAGAGAATCCCAAGCTCAACGCCGTCGCAACTTCGCAAGGAGTGACAGCACAGGAACATTGCACGCCATTCTCAACATAGCTCATGCTCACCCCCGGAAATTGGAATGACTACTCCGTAGAAATTTTTGATCTGGCCGCACGGGGGCCCAGCAGCAATTCTTTACCTGCATCCAAAACCCAACCCTTGGCAAGCAGGCTGCTGGTAGCGAGCTCAGTCCGCATGTCCCCTGCAAGCACAAGCAGTTGGGGTCTTGTCCCAGACCCAAGGGTCACTTAATTAAGTGTGTAGCCCCCAAGATATCCATGTATTGAGCGGAAAAGGGGGGCGAGCTACAGAGTTGCGCCACGGTCCACCGTACAATATCTACCCACAAGATGGTGTGGTCGGAAATGTGAGCTCGCTCCGTTTCTTTCGAAGCCGCTGTGCCGCAGCTGAAATGGAGGAGGCCGCGAATGCGCCCTACTCACCCGGTCCGGGCTGCCGAGCGTGCGGTAGCTGAGATGAGCTGACCGTGAACATGCAGCTTTTTGATGAACAGATATTTAGATGTACGCTGCTTGTGCGTGGAGTCCGACCCGGTCGAGCGTCAGTGTGAAGCAGCCGTTATGTCGATTCCTATTGGTTTTTGCGGATCCTGACGTACCCTTTGGCGTACCAAATTTAATTTTTTTTACATACTGTCCTGTTTGTTTCGTTAGCCTTGTCTCTGTCCGACCCATCGCGTATCAGACAATTCCCACGCGCCCTAGGAGTTTTCGAGGATAATAGTCTAATTTGTGGATTGGCCTTATAGAATACACTATGCGGCCGGGCGGGGTGATACGCGCGCAGTGGTTCGGGCGTCGGCTCTCACATTCTCTCGGGATTGTGACAGACGTACCAACAGGGGTACAACAGGCCGATAGTCTTCATCCCAGTCCCGGCAGACGGAAGCCATTACCCGTCACTGGCAGTGAGGCAGCTACTCTCGGTCAAGGCCTCGCGTCTCAACGCTCAAAGGAGGATCTCCCTTGTCCCTCATGCCACGAGCAGTCGAAACGCCTCCGATGAGGTCGGCACGTAGTACCGAATGCGCTCTTTGCTGCTTATGAAAGATTTAGTGCTGGCTTGAGCTGAAGTGAGCTTAATTGGACCTCTCATGTATATCACGCACCTTCTTACGAATACTAGGATAACGCAACAACATGGTGACGACCTTTCCACCGCAGTAGCTGGATCGGATTGGGCAAGTGGGCTGCGCGACACTTCTAAGGAACATTCAGAAGGAGCCTGACTAACCAAGCCGGCAGTGCCTTTTCCATCTACACCAGTCGGTTAATGTACAACGAGTGAGTCCCAGAATGCCAGGCCTGTAATGTCTTCCGAGGTTGCTTGGCGCGTCGACCGTATCTTCCGTGTTGGCATCATTCCGCCGAGCTGAACACCTCGTTGCCGGCTCCCAAATTTCCCGGCACGATGAAGTCACTCAGTCACGGATTATGGTACGAGGGAGAAATTCAATAGAGCCTCGGGGCTAGGGTGTTGAATTGACTCTAGAACTTGCTCGGTAGCATCCATCCTTCAGGTGATCCTGGACTGCTTCTGCGCAGAATGCTGGACTACGGATACCTCTGCGCAGGATCCACAGCATCCAGAAGTCTCTCCGCCCACAACGGCCGTGAAGACGTGACCCATGCAGGGGAATTGGCAGTGTTGACAGTTCCTGAGGTCGCCGTCAATTCATTCTGGCGTATGCCATGCCGGCTCCACCATAGTAGACAAGAGGGGGGGGGGGGGGGGCAAAATCAAATGTTGTCCCCCCCCCCTTGTCAGGCGATCCCTGCAGACTCGCCTCTGACAGCTCCTTAATTATGACGGATGATAGCGGTGAAGAAAACTGCTCCAAAGCCATCTGCGGTACCTGCGTAGTAATTCGATGTCGCCGGTGAGGCTTATGTATCGCCCGCACATGAAAGACCGAGGAAATCCTGCCGCAAGCGAGGAGGCAGCTCGTGGCGGCTTGGTGACAAAGCCTCTGCACTCATGCTTCTGTACACAGCAGGGGATGTTACCGCACGGCTAGCTATCGAGATGTATGCTGCCACACCAATGCCTACCGGTTGTGGTGGTTTCTACTCATGGGAGAGCCACTGAATCACTTCCATTCGGCCGTAACTCTATCGTAACTAATTGTGTCTTCAGTGACTTCCAGTGCATATAACAGCGTCACTCCAGTCACGCCCCCTATCCCCGTCGGACAAGCCCCAGTCAGAGCTCATACGGCATGACGTGCAGTCTTTGGCACTAACCATGTTCCCTCCGCGATAGTTAGTAAGTAGTTAGATAAGGAAGTCCTGGTTGCCTTACCTTACCTTAATACACGTGGCTCGACAGGAGCCGATGTAAGCCGCGAAATACCTACCTCAAGCAGCGTCCTGCACGGCTGGCCAACGACGATCTCCACTTTATATTCGGCCCCACTCCGGCGCGCGACCTTCGGCATGGGATCGGATTCCGGAGTTGCCTACCATATTTGAGAACGTCTGACTGGAGGTGTAGTCGCGTTAGAATAAGGTAAAAGGTGACTAACTTCGAACTACATCGAAAAGAACCGTCGAGATAACGTATTCCCAGCAAATCTCGATCGATGCACGTATTGTTCTCATGAAGTAGGTACCGTCGTGAGAAGACCTGAAGCTCACTAGTTGTCTCGAGCACACGTGCCAATAAGGGGTACGTAGAAGATACATATTTCTTTCCCTGCCAAGAACGCTCAGCCAGGCGGCCAGGTACGGGCGGATTGCAGACGGCCGGCCAGGCGGTGGCGCCGGGTCAGGCCTGACCCCTTTCAAGCTCATCAGAACTACCTTAACACCTGTACCATAGCCTGCTCTCCTCAACATCCTTCTGGTCTACGTCTCAATCTTGCCAAAAGCCACCACCACAAACGCAACCTCCTCGAACCACATCGCAGCCATTTCAGAGCAACTAAAAGTCTTCAAAAAACTCAACGTTTTCCAAGCGCATATTCATCGCTCGTCATTGAGTCTGGATGTATGCGCTGACTGATATCTCCCAGCTAACAACCTAGATATCAGCCGTTGAGCTCTGCCTCCTTTAGCCGCATCGATTGGTGCTTCGCCCGGATGGCATTCTTCAGGAGTTCCTCGGCATTTTCGGCACCCTTGAGATGATACAACGTAAATGAGACGAGTAACTGAGCACCCCATTTGAAGTCCTTGTTGGTGAACTCTGGGATGTATTCTGACGCGGTTCGACAGCCCACTGCACTCTCTTGGTAGGGGCTTCATGACCTTGAAGATTGTTGCTGATGGCTTCCAACGCTTGATTGCCATCTTGGGCGGAACGGATCTTCATGTCGAGCCCATGGCGCAGGCTGTCATCGGAGACAAAGCTCTCCGCAAAGAGGTTCGCGTGAGTTGATCGGCGAGATGCATCCTTGGGGATCTCGAACGAGGTGTTGTTGGCGATGGCCTGCAGGTGTCGAGTCCTTGAGTCATCCCAGATGGATGTGCACTTACTATCCGGGCCATACGTGAGATTCGGGGCATTTTCGAAGTGCAGCTGCGAAGCCTTGTTTTCCGCCATAGCTCGGCTCCTGCCCAGCGACAAGGGATAGGCTTGATGGCCCACGAAGATGTTGCCCGCGATGCCCTTGAACTGATCGACGAAGCCCAAAGCAAGGATGAATATGTCAATGTCTGTCCGAATCTGGGCCAAACCTCGACGGTTCACGACGAGCAACTGGAAATGCTCCTCCAACGACGGCGCCTCGCCTCTCCGGGCTCGCGACTCGCAGCACTCATCATAGTTATGGGCGGTCGTGGAGCATTTGGGACAGCCATCTAACTCACCGCGCTCTGTGAGCGGGCCTGCACAGAAAGCCAAGACATGGTCAGTTCTGTTGCAATTTTCGCACCGGCCGATCACGGGATTTCTTTGCAGTTGGTACATATCATACTGTTTCCGCTGCTCTTCGAGAACTTGTTGGAACATCATTTGCTGCTTCTGAAAGACTTGCTGGAATTGCTGCTGTTGGGGAGGCTGCCGGAACTGCTGCTGCTGCTGTTCTTGTTGGATCAGCTGCTGGAGTCTCTCTTGCTCCAGTAGAACTCGCTCAAATTGATGCCGTTGCTACTGAATGAGCTGTTCGATCTGCTGATCCTGGTTTCGCTGCTGCTGCTGCGTCGCGTGTTTCTCATCCACGATCATGGCATCGCTGCCGAACATGGAAGACTCTTTTCTGACTCCATTCTCTAAGTTTCCGGTAGTGTACCCATGCGGATGCATGGCCTCTTCCCCTCCAAAATTCAGGGTGGCAGGAGGAAGACCGTCAAGCGCCATCATAGTGCCTTAACCTTCGGGATTCTCCCGGTCTCTGTCCTACACCGCAGAACCACGCTTGGTATCCTCCATGAACTTTTGTCACAGGTCTGGGGTCAGTGGGGTCTGTCGATCCATTTGGCCATTCTTCATCGTGGAAGCGAGATCTTTGATGACAGTCTTCTCGATGCGACCGCCTCTGTGACGGCCCGCTGAACCGCTCATCTGCCCATTGGGACCGAGCGGGTTGCGGCCGGGGCGGTCTCTGGGATTGTCGAAGGCGAGGCCGCTGCCGTTTCTAGAAGTCTGATCGTCGGTGATTTCTTTCTGTCGAGTATCGGTAAGTGTGTGTGTGTGTGTGTGTGTTGGGTCGAGGTTTTCTAGCTCACGAAGGATGGGGGAAGGTGAAAAAGTCGGAGGGCCGGGGGTGCGGGAAGGAAGGAGGTGAAGGCACACGTGCTTGAGAATGAGCAGTTGATGTCAAAGATGAGGAAGGTACGATCCAACCCTCGAAGCAGCCTGGGTGCTTCCTCCTGAATTTCTTTTCGGTTTTTTTTTCCGCAAAGTGACCATGCGGGCGGTGAGGGTTCTTGGGATAAAAATACCACATTCAACTCCTGTCGATTTCCGAAAGATGTCTGCCTTAGGTAGGCAGATGAAAGACTTGGCCTTGAAGATACCTTGACATCACGAATTAGATATCCTGGTTTAAGGTTAAGTACGTCCTCCAACCATCGTCGCCCTACGTCTCTAGTTATTATGCTGCTTTATCTGACAACTATCATGAGTTATTCACTATAGAATCGTAACACTCGAACCTAAACCCTTCAGTGACAAACACGATAGGTTAGGTTGATATATATTACTCGACGTCGCTGGAGTCAGGAGTCGTCGACCGACGGACCTTTTGGCCGATAGATATCAACCAACTTCGACCCCGCCGATTAACCTCGTCATTTGCAGCGACACCTTCCACCACACCACTTCGGAGACTGTGAGCGTGTGTATATTTGTTGGAAGAAGAGGGATCCGTCAAGCCGTTGTAAGCCAATGGTCTACTTACCGATCTTGGGAGTCTAACAGCAGGTTTCTCCGAATCGAGCTCCTGCTACCTCCCGTGCTCATTAAGGTACCTTTCCCCAACAAGTGGTATCCTTCCAGGTCTCCTGGCTTGGATGTCTGTGGACTACCTGAGTAGGAATCTGCCTTGTGTTCTCGGATAAGATTAGCGAAGCTGTGAGCAGAGAGGCTACCTTGGACGTCAAATTCCTCAACCCCACAGATCCACATGCTACATCTCGCAACCACGGGCAGAACCTACCTAGTACCACGATGTATACGGTTAAATGTTCGCCGCCCCAGTATTAGACGTTGTCTTCTGCAGAGATTGGAAGCACCACGGATACATACCTCCGCAACCCCAAGCAGGTCCGTCTCACATGTCGAGATGTTTCCAGACTCAGCCAGGACCTTTGAGTACGTTGATATCTTTGTTGGTCTGTTTTCTATGTGTCCTCATCGTGGACCCTGTTCGTGTCCTCTCTTAATGGTGCGTGAAGACGCGGCAGATGTATTGTTCACAACCAAAAAAACACAGCAGAACGCCGCACTGGATATTAGCTCAATTAGAAAACTACTCGCTACTCCTAACAAGCAGTATCGGAAAAGGGGGTGGGGGTATAAGTCAAAAAGTATCTAAAAAGAGTCCCAAACGCCAAACAACGCATGTACCGAACATGCCTGGGCGATGTGGGTGTGTCTGTCTGTCTGATTTGGAAATCTCTCTCTCTTTCTCACCCACTCAAAAAACAAAAGAAACGCCATACAGACGAAAGCCTCCCAAACTCCTAAACCTGAGCCGACCTCGCGCGATCAACGCTGGGCCGCCGATGCCCGTCCTCCTCTGGCTGCGTCTTGTGCCCCCCGCCAGCCGTACCATTAACCTGGGCTCCATCGTGAGACTTGGACCCAGAAGCCTCCGCTCTGTCTTGTGCGTCTTCCGCGGCAGCCTTGTCTCTCGCGTCCGCACGGTCTGCCGCCTCGGCCCGCGCCTCTCCTTCCTCGTTCTCCGCGATGTCATGGTTTCTCTTGGACGAGTTCTTATCCGAGCCCTCGGAGCCATCCTGATCCTCGGCAGACTTGCGCGCCCGCGCGGTTTCGGTCGACCGCCTCGTATCAACACTATGTCTAGTCGCAGGGCTCTTCAACTTCTCGTCCGCTTTTCGAAGCTCCTTCTCCGTGCCGACGACGGTGCTCATATCCTCACCCTTCTTGATCGCCTGGAGAGTGCGGTCGGCAATGTCGACACTCTCAAAGGCGGCGTGGTTGACGCGCTGCTTCTTGTGCGAGAACACCCCCTTGATACCTTGCTTCTTCTCGGCCTCGAGGGTCTCCAGAAGTTCGTGGATGGTGTACCACCCAGTAATTACGTCCTTGTCTGTTTGCTTCTTGGTATCGCCAGGCAGGTTCCGTCTTTCGCGTTGACCTTGTACAAGACGAGCCCGACGGACGACTCGGTCGGGCTGCTTCTTCCGTTCGACTTGCTTGGCAATGCCCTTCAGAGTGTAGCCAAAGGGACTGATGATGGCGCTGAGGTCCTTGAGTACGAATCCTGTGAGACCCATGCCTGTTCCCTTGACGAACCCCTTGACGCCCTCCTTCTTGGCACCCCTGACTGGCAGGCGAACGAGGCCCGTCGTGCCGTCGTAAATGCCGTAAGCGAATTCCTTGCCGGCGGCCTTCAATCCGGAGCTGATACCGGTGACACGTGGCGGGCGTCGAACAGTATCATCACCGTATAGGCGAGGAGCATTGTGAAATCCTTGAGCGATGGCCATGGATAAGTCTACCGGTGCCCTCGCGAGGGCTTGTGCCGATTTACCAACACCCTCGCCAACTTCAGTGGCGTAGTCTCCAACGGCATCGTCGACGGTGGTTCCGGTGTCGATTGAAGACATTGTATCGCGTCGTTCTTGCGCACCCGGTCTTGCAGAAGAGGCGTTTCCGTTGGCTTGGGATTGCTCTCCCTGACTCTTCTTCTTGTCGTCTCCCTTCTCTGCTTTGCCTTCATCTCCGTCCTTGGCTTTCCCTTCGTCTTCATTCTTCTGTACTTTACTGTCATCTTCGCCCTTTGCTTTCGCCTTATCTCCCTCCTTCGAGTTGTCGTCATCGCCCTCCTGTGGTCGAAGCGCACCGTTGCTGGTCTCGCCGTTGGTCGCAGCCTTCCGTTCCTTGGCGCTCGTGCGCTTGTCTCGGAGGGCCCTCAACTTCTTCTTCTTATCCTTCTTCTCCTTGCGCTTATGTGACGTCTTGGCAATTCTGTAAGGAACACTGCCGATCCCACCAAAGACGTTGCCCATCGTTCCGGCAAGAGAGCCCGCGATACCAGTCACCGGTTCGCCAGGGCCCTCAAAGTCGTTCCATTCCGTGTGCCGCAACAGTCTGAGTTTCTTCCAAGAAAGCTGCCCTTCCTCGACAATGATATCAGCGGCGAGCGCGCTGAGCTTGACATTGGTGTTCTTCAGCGTCCAGACAGCCGGACGGTCTCGCAAAATAGAGCAGCGCATCGAGTTCATGCCTCCCAGCGTCAAATGGTGGTGGAATGACCGCACGGCGTTCTTGGCACCGTCACCTTCTAATTCAATATCCTTGGCGACCTTGGCGGCCGCTTCTTTCGCCTCGTCCGTTAGGCAGTACTTGATGCCCTCGGCGAGCTTCTCGGCGTCGAGTTGCTTGTAGGGCACGGCCTCGGGCCCGGCTTTGCTTGTCGCTAGGATGCTTCCCCAGAAATGCTGGTCGCCGAAAAAGGGTACAACCATGGTCGGCAGACCGCACTTGAGAGCGATAGCAGTGGTTCCGGCTCCGCCATGGATGACGCAGGCCTTTACTCGAGGGAACAGCCAGTCGTGAGGCGTGTTCTCCAGCATGAAAATATTATCGGGGACGTCCATTTCATCGCCTCCCAAGCCGCCCCAGCCCTTGGACACGAGGGCGCGAACTCCGGCAAGTTCAACGGCCTCGAAGATCATCTGGGTAAAACGGTCGGCATCATCGACAACGATAGAGCCGAACCCAATGTAGATAGGTGGCTCTCCTGCATCCAAGAACTTCTCCAGGTCGCTGGGTGGCTCAAAAGTCGAAGCCAAGTCGAGGAAGACGAAACCGGAGACGTCAATTTCTTCACCCCAATCGTGGGGCTTGGGGACGAGACCAGGACTCCAGAGGTAGGTAAAGGGCACGTGCAGGCGGTAGGTTGCTCCCGGGGCCCAAAGTGTCGAGACAGCGTCTAATCCGAGGGTCTTGACGCGGAAGTCATTGACCAAATCGCCCAGACCTTGCCAGACCATCATCTCGACCAGGGGATATGAGATGAAGTTGGTGTACCCGGGATCCACGTTGGATTTCTTGATGCTGGCCAGGGGGTGAGGGAAAGCTTGCGTTGGGGTGTATGGGAACGTGAACATGAGATGCAAGGGAATTCCGAGAGCTTCAGCGCAGTGAATGTGGGCGAAGCTGGGAGGGTTGGCAATGATGGCGTCGGCGATGAAGGGATCCTTCTCACCCATCATTTTGAGGTTGTGGACATCCTTCTCGTCGTCCGTGGCGTTGATGCAAGCTCGCCAGAATCCGTCAAACATCTCCGCCATGGCCGATCGTCGTCGTCCAATGTCTCCCGCCTTGACGGCATCGAGAGTCGGAATCATGCCAGGATTCTTGACCATGAAAGCCATCAACTCGGAGGGGTCGCCGCCGACCGAGAAGAACTCGAGGCCAGAGTCCTTCTCCACAAACTCGCGGAAGGCGGGGTGCGTTGCAATACGCACGCGATGACCATAATCCTCCTTGAGAATCTTGCCAATTTTTAGGAACGGCTGCGCGTCACCTCGAGAGCCAATGACCATAATGACAATATTCAAGCGCGGCTTCGGTTCACGATCGGCGGTGGCCGTGGTAGCGGAGGAGAGGCGTGACACGGGTGGTCGCTGCCCATCCTCGCCCTGCTCCTCGCCTTCGGGCACCGGTACCACTTTCTTGACGGCCTGTCCCAACGCCTTGGCCAAGTAGCCCGTATTGGCCGTCTCCTTGACCGAGATACGCAGGCGGCCGTCCTTCTTCACCTTGCCCTTGGTGTTGTAGCTGTCGTTGCCGACGTGGAAGCGGCGGTAGCGCTCCGCAATCTCTTTTTGCCGCTTCGCATTGGCTTTTTCTTGTGCCTTTTTCTTCTCGGCCGGGGTTCTGATGTCTTGAGAGTTCTCATCATCGGAGGAATCGCTGGAGCTGGAGCTCGAGCTCGAATCTCCTCTGTCGGCCTCCCAGAGTGCCCTATCGAGGTATGATGTTCCGGATCGCTTGGGGACATTCCGCCGTGCCGTGCTGCCCTGGCCAGCCTTTCGATCAGGCGCCTCGGTCCTCCACCTCTTGTCCATGGGAGGGCGTTCCTGAGTGTTCGACGTGCCGGGCACCTCGATATGGTCAGAGTGGTCATTCGGGGCCGACTCGGTCTTTGTGGTCTTGTCGTCCTTTGGTGGTATCTCGGGAACCGTAGGCGCGGTCGTTGACTGGGGTGATCGAGCATTCGGCGAGTCGATCTCGGGTGGTACAAAGGATGGGTAGACAATGTTTCTGTCCTCGTCTCGCACGACACCAATGTGTCGTCCATCGCGGTCTATTTCGTCAATGTGAAGCTGCTCGGGAGGAGGGGTCGCCGTCGCCTCGGACTCGGTCGTCGTGCCCAAGGCCAGTTGTGCAGCGGTGGTTGGGTGCGCCATGATGGCGTCGGGTTGGCGTGTGTGGTGTCAGGTCTGCTCTCGAATTGGGTTTCGTCTATGACGGTGGTGCGGAAGGGAAGGGGGGAGTTGCGGTTATGGGAAGGGGAGTTGGGATCGTGTGTGAGAAATTGGTGTTTAGATCAGGGCTGGCATCCCAATGTGGACATTAAGGTAGGTATGGTAGGTATACGTTTTGAAAATAGCGTGGCTAAAGAGGTCTTAGGGGCGAAGATAGTCTGGGTGTGCAAGTCGCGTCACTTGTTCTTGGCGAGGTAGGTTGTCACGCAGAGGTTGACGTCCGGAGCGAGGAAAGGGAACTAAAGATCGAACTCCGCAAGCTAAGGAGGCGAAAGGACGGACGGGAGGCATAAAGAATCCCGACACAACCCTCATGGCCCAGTTCGTTTGGTTCCGGGAATAATGAGGTAGGTACCTTACAGCAGAGAGGGGACCTGGGGACCTGTCCGGCCCATGGAAAGTTTCACACGAAAAGCAAGCTTGCTGGGCGAGGCGGGCCGCGGGAGGAGGAGCACACCTAAGGTACTGCACAGGAAGGAGGGCGCCTGGACGCGGCCGCGGCTTGCGCACTGGGGACGTGGACAGGAACTGAGGCGGTTCTTACTTTGCTGTTTCCAAAGCCATCCATCTGTACTCCGTACCTTGGGTTAGCAGCGCAGCAGTTGCAGCAGTGTATAGGTGCAGATGTGCAGAGGTGCAGAGCTGGAATTTCCTTTCCAACCACCCCCTGGTCTAAAAATGACATCACTTCCCGAAGGTGACGCTAAGCCGGTTATCTGCAAGGGTGCGCCCCTGCCGATGAGGTAGCTTCCTGGTCTGTGCGACGCGATGACATTGGCTGGGCCGGGCTGGCCCGTGCCAAACCGCCCAAGAGGCAATCTGCGAATCCGGAGACTCTCCCCCGGGCCATCATCCTCAGCGCCTCACTCGAGGTTTTTTTTTCTTGCAATTTGGGGTAAACAACGTTACTTCGTTGACAACACATTGCTCTCATTTCAATCGAATCACGTTGACGATCTGCGGTGAGACAAGCCAGGTACAGCATGACGGAAGGTACGCAAACCGGCCAACCTGCCCCCCCCCCTCAACCGAGATGAAATGAAATGGTGAGACTTGCGTTGGGATTTGCCAGTTTGTTTCCCACATGAAGCCAAATTGGGCTCGAGCCCCTTGGACCACCTGCGTCCTCCAAACATGCACATCTGGAAGTCCGGATCTGGCTTTCTGGACAGGAGCTAAGGTACTGGCGCCACACTTATGCTTCGGATGTATTACCTCGAGCTCTCCTGGCCCAATAGATCGAGGATCTGCTAAAGGATCGATGGTGCACAGCCACGAATCACTCGCCACAGTCCGCGTCTCCCCCTGACGGCATTTGAACAACCGTGACAACGTCCTCATCCCCAGAGCGTCCAAGTCGACCGTGGATCGTCAGAGCAGGTGTTTAGAACCATGCGGCTTTCGGGGGAAGAGTGACGGGCTTCTAGACATTCCCCCTTTCCGCACTGACGCCGTCCACTCCGTATGCCACTTGAGAATCGCGTGGGTCCGCAGTCGATGAGACGACACGTGTGGCCGCCAGTGGAATGTATTCCGTGCATTTGGTGGTGTGAGTTTGATATGACAGATATCCGTAGTCTCTCGCACTTCACCGCGGCCCGCTTCTAGACCCTGAGCTTCCCTATGGTAAATTCTGACGAGCAGACGCCACAAAGCATCACATCTAGCTAGCAGAATATTTGGAAGAACTTTTTGTTTTAAATTCGTACAGCTGCTCGTTGCTCAGCAGCCAAAGTAATTCGTAACTCATAAGAGACTCCGCCATGAACCTACTCCCGGAAATGCAAAGCCCATACCACAGAGCATCTCGGCTTACCCGCGCCGGGGCTACCCATGATATCCAGCGTCCAATGTACATCAACCACAACTTTTACTGCAGAGGCAAGCTCTTTAACCGCATCGTCAGGATGTCGAGCTGTGTCTTGACCTCGTCGCCCTGTCCTTGGTCGTCCACTTCCTTCTTCTCAAGCGCCGTCTGCAACGTCTTGACAGCGTGCAGCAGGGGCTCGACGTAGCGCTGCTCCACGGCGCCCGGCATGCTGGCCGGCACCAAGTGCTGGAAGCTCGTGCCGGCAAACAGGAAGTAGGCAAAATTGGCAACTTGCAGGTGGAAGGGGAAGTTCTGCACCCAGTATTCCCAGATTTCGGGAACGGACTGCTCCTTGAGGAATGCCATGTTGGGAAACAAGACGTACTGAAGCGTCTCAACTGCGTCCGTTGTCGAGAATCTGTTCGTGAGCTTGCGCTTTTGGGCCACAATCAACTCTTCTCGCAACCACGTCACCGCAGAAGCCTGCAGGGCGGAAAAGATGCAGTTCTCGAGGAGATCCTCCAAAATCTTGAGCCGGTCGCTATCATCGGGGTCGTCGTGCAGGACGAGTCCAGCGAGGGTCGTCGAAACATTGCGAACCGACAGTGATGGGTGGAACACGGAGACAAGTGTGAGGAGGTGGTGGTATGGCATGAAATCGCCCTCTGAAGGCGAGATGCGCTTATAGTTTTCCAGCCAGAGTCCCATCACGATGAGAGCTTCGGTGGTGCCAGGGTTTCCGACGATGCGCGACTGCGGGTGCTCGCCAAAGAAGTTTTGGAGGAGCTTGACATGATCGGGGAACATGGTCATCTGGACCTGTTCGTAGTCCGCATCGAACACCTCGGCCGAGAAGAGCCAGTATGCAACCAGGCACCAGACACCTCCGGTGGAGAGCTTGATGTTGTCGGGGCTGAGGTCATCGGTCTCGACCGCCAGCGGGTTGTTGGGGATGGCGCCCTCAAAGATGTCCTTGACGGAAAGAGCACGCACTCTGTTTAAGCCGAGATCTCCTGCAAGTGCCTGAGTTAATTGTTAGCAAGTTCGTCCGTCCGAGCACCATCAGACGAATGTACATACGACTAATTGGCCAACCAGAGCGTCCCTCGCCAAAAGATCAGTGTCCTCCTTAAAGGCACGCAACACGCTCTTGCGAATCACGACACGCTCTGGGTTGTAGAATTCCAACAGTCGGGAGGCCCATTCCATGCCCGTACAGTTGACGTAGGCCTCGATGATGCAGGTGATGAAGGATTGGAGCAGTCTCTTGGTCGTGTCAGGGTCCGTCGGCGCCAACTGCTGCTTGTGTGCGGCCTCGGGGTCTGGTGCGTGTTTTGTGGGATCGCTCTTCGTGAAGGGAGTATCGAGCTTGTTGCTGGACTGGCGGGTAGGGAGCGGCGGGCGCTTATCGCCAGAAAGGGAGCGGACAAGGGCAATGACTGCAGCCGTCATTTCGGGATTGCGGGGATGGTAGGAGCGGTAGACGCTCTGCAGGGTCGTATGAACGAAACGGGAGGGGCGCGCGACGTTCAACCGCTTGTGCAGGATGCTCAACATGCCGACCAGGTGAACGAATGTCGCCGTCGTCGCGGGGTCGTCTTCCTCGTCAGTGGCTTCGTCGACGGTCTTTTCCAGAACCTCGAGAACCTTGAGGATGACCTCGCGCGGGTTGCCCAGCTGAGCAATGGTCTCGAGGCATTGCTCGCTGCCTTGGACGGGCACGAGCATCTCGACCAAGTCCCATCCGATGTCCTGGGTGAGCTGAGTGTCTTGAAGGATTTCGTTGAGATCAGGCAGGATCTCGGGGGACAGGACCTCGCCGATGATGGTTAGGTAGGTGAATGTGTCTGTGGCGGGCGGCTTGGACTCGCGCAGAGCCTGGAGGGGGCTGGGCTTGTCGGCCATGGCAAGAGGAGGATTCGTCGCTTCAATCATGGTGTTCAACTACTCGAGGGTCCTCTGTGGCATTGGGAGGGGTCGGTCGATGGTCGTTGAAGAAAAGTCTGGGCTGATGAGGACTCGGCAAACGACAGAAGGGGGGGGGCAGACGGGGTGAAGAAAAGAAGAAAATAAACTGTGCCTGTTCTCGTTTCGTCATCGGAGCTTTCAGCACCTGAGAGATGGAAGGGAAGGCGTGAGAGAGGAGGACCACATCGGACCTGGGCAGGCACGGCAGGGTTCCAACTCCAAATTTCTCTCCACCAGGCAATATAATTAGCACCTCACCAGCAGCTCACCACTCCACGAAAGGGGGGGGGGATTGAGGCGGGCGATTGCAGTCAACCGTCAACGACAGGCCCAGAAATGCCAGCAGTGGGCGCAGCAGCAACCCCGCACTAGCCCTGATTCAGAGAGGATCCCGCTGGAACACTTTATAGGTCAGGTTCACCCCACTGGAATCTGCTGCATCTGAAGAGGTCCCGCCAGGTCTGAACCCTGAGGATGGCCCCGCCTCAAGGACGGTGGAGAGGTCGTTGGTGCAGACGTGTCAGTGGCCAGGCACCGCCAGAGGCACAGTGAAACCCGGTGCCATCGGGTAATACAGCGTGCCAGACCAGGCTGGCTCCAGCCCGCAACACTGGCTGGGGCCAGGCCTTGGCGGTGAAGTGGCCTGCGACGAGACGTCGGGTGGGAGGCTGAGATCTGAGAAATTCTCAGGACTATCCTTACGGTTAACGTACCTAACACGGTACGGGAGAACAGGTTGCGGATGGAAGATCGGCTCGTGTTTGATTTATGCTTGACAATGGAAGCATCCGAACAGACGACGAAACTGGACAGTCCCCATCCCTTTAATCTGCGGGAACGGGAATGGACCCTGAAGAAACCTGAATCCTGAGGGACAGGACAGGACCGGGAAGTCGGAAGTCTGAGTCTCGAGGAACCACTTCACCCGCCATGCCGCCCACCTCCTCCTCCTCCAGCTGCCAGTGTCCCACCCATGGGAAGTCTTATCGGTCCCGCGCTATCCCTCCTGTTAATTGTTATCGATAGAGAAAGTGGAGCGGGCCAAGATAGCGGGATGCACTTCGATAAGACACCTTGGACCGGGGAAGCGATTACAGATGCCCCAAGAACCAAAGGTATCCGGAAGTACCTTGATGGAAGTACA